ATTTTCAATGTGGGAGGGGGAGGAAGGCTACTAAGGTGGGGGTGCATCCTCCCCCAAATACGCCACTGATTTTACTACACTCTAATTATTTACCAGTTTATATTGTCTGACATGGGAGTAACATTTGCATTGTATACATTGCATGTATACGTAGTGTAGTGTATACATAGTGTCTAAAGACATAAGTGTTGTTTACAATTTGTTTTTAATTTTATACTATAGTGCAGAAGAATCTGGTCGTTACTTAGAAACATATAAATCTTATGAAAACAAGTCAGCAGATACGTTAAAGGAGAGGGTAGAGTCGGACTTTATGTCCAAGGTAGGTTAAAGGCCGTCTCCATGCGATGATTTTATTCATACTTTTTTATTGGTGGTTAGTCTCAACAATTTTTATACCTTGTTTTGTGAACTTAAGTTTTTTTAAAGATTGTCAGAGGAGGGTGGAAAAAACTAAAAATAAAATTTTGTTTTCTTATTTAGCAAATGATTTAACCAAAAACATCCGGATGGAAAATATACAAATAAAATTTTATTGGTAAATGTAAATGGGATGGTTAAATGCTTTAAATTTGTATAATTACGAAGAAATTTACATATCTTATTTTTGGAGATTTCAAGGCAGCGGCTGGTGTAATAAAAATCAAGAAAAACATTTTTTTGTCTGAAATTTCCCTTTTTTATGGCAGCGGGTGCTCTAATTGTCCAAAAATACAATTATATTTTAATTCAAAATCAATGTTATTGGCAGGCGGCAGTTTCGCTAAACAAGGTATTAAAAAAAGTTGCGCCTTAAGTGATGCTTCTTCTACCAAGTGTCATTTTTAAAAGGTCTTCACATGATGGTGAAAGGATAAAAAAATAATATGCTTTATTAAAAAAATAATGAAATAGTGAATTTGTAAGCTTTAGCCTTCTCAATAAAAAAAATAATGCTGTTTCATGATGTTAAAAGCTGACACTAGGTATTTGAAGAATTGTATTATTGTACTTGCAGATGACCGACTGCCTGACAACGATCAAGTCCGTTAACAAAACCGATGCGATTACTCTTCTGTCAACTTTTGGGGTAGGCTTCATATTCTGACCATAATTTTGGAAGAGAATAATGACCACCTCCATCATAATTAACCATAGTCATCGCAGTGGCGGATCCAGTAATTCAAAATAGAGGGGGGCCTAGGGAGGGACTTTTGTAGGTAGAGTCTAGACCACTTCAGCCCCACCATGGGTGGGGCTGAAGCAACAAAATATATGGTAATGGCACCTCTAGAAGGCCGGAAAGGGCTCTCTCAGATCTAAATTTATTAATATTTTCATTTTTTCTTAATTTATTTTATAATAAATAAAGCCGGCCAAGGGGTCCCCTTGAATCCGCCACTGCATTGTCATCCCTTCTTTAGTCTTTATTCGTCCTGCATCCCTGTAGATGGAACACTGATGCCATGCTCTTACTTTTCTCTAATATTGTGTAGCATTTTATTCCTAAATTGTGCTTCCTTCCATTCTTTTTTTGTTTATTCATAACCATCATCAAATTCAAAATATGTTTAACAGAATTGTGGATTGTAATTCTACTGTTTACTTTGTTACCCGACAGAGTTTTAATGGGATTGTGAATGCCACCGAGGATGAGCTTTCGTTCTGCCCAGGATTTGGTCCAAATAAGGTGAGTCTCAAATTGCTGTAAAATTATCACAATGATTATTCTAAAGAATTATCAATAATAAATTACCATCTTTATTGGTTTTCAAATATTATATCATATTTCATCAAAGTAAAACCATATATTTTGTTAGTGACAGCCAGGGGTAGACCTAGCTTGCATTTTGTTACCAAATTATTTCACACTTTAGTTGTTTTACTGTACTCTTACATTATTATTATTGTTTACTTTGATAACTGTTATCTAAGGCACACATAGCCTTTTAACCCTGTGGGCTTAGGCTTTATAACTAGGTAGAGAATTTTGCAAGATAAATTCTCAATTATCAATTTTCCCTTGGCTTCGCTTTTTCCATATATTGTTTCATTACATTTAACGTGTTCCATTTTTCTTGGCAGGCTAAGCGTGTGGCAAAGGCTCTGAGGGAGCCTTTCCTTAAAAGGAAACGCACTAAGTTAAAAACAGACGCAAAAAAACCTGAAGACAGTCCAGGTACAAGTGCATCATAACAGGAGCTAGATATGCAAATTAGCTTCATTCTACTGTGCAAATGCATTTTTTGCAAGCAACCTCAGGTACACCAATGTTATCCACAAACAACACAAAGATATAACAAGTGCAACAATACAGGAATAGGAACATTTGCACCTTGTTGTTCAGTACAGAACAAACCAATGAGAGACAAGTATATCATGATGCAAAACAAATGACCTAAAGATGCAAGATAAAGTGTTACTTTGGACGCATGCTAAATGTTACACACACTTCCAGAGATGTGCCTAATGAAATCTACCAAGAGTTCACACAAAACCTTAGTAAAAAGTGCAATTGATAGTTGATACACAGGCATTGAAGATAAAGCATTCCCCCATGGTCATGTGTACAGATCCAAGCTAAGTGTACAGGCCTCTGCGACATCTGTTTTCCTTAATGGCAAGTGTGCTAATGGATGTAGGGACACTTATTTTTCCAAGCTCAGGTACTTGTAATATTTTGTCAAGGGGTGTGAATTAGGTAGAGGTATGTAGTTACTCTGAAATCAGACTTTGGAGTAACTCCGATTTTGGAGTTTTCATGTATAGTTGTACGCAAAACCTCAGAAATCAAAGGGTTGATTAAAAGTTGGCTCTCTCTTTATGGAGACTTTGAGGGTTGATTAAAAGAAATCAGAGTTTTGGCGGCGGATGCAGACACTCCAAAAAGAGAGTAACTACATACATGTTGGGTATTGGTGTTCTTGTTGCATTAAAAAAAAAAACCAACCACAGACATATGGAAATTAGCTTCATGTTGCCAAAGCAGGGAACCAGAGTAGAAAAGAAACCAATCAGGGACAGATACATCATGACACAAGTTGAAACCAACCAATCAGAAACATCATGATGCAAGTTAAATATGAAAGTGGCATTCCTTCTGTTTTTTAGAGATTAAATATAATATTGATAAATTATTAATGAAAAATTGTAAATATTAATAAATTAGAATTGAAATTTTTTTGTATGTACTGAATCTTCTTTTGTAAATCATATGTTTTATTTTGTATATTTAAAATTCTACTTCCAAATCAAATGTATTTTGATAAATACAACATTTGTTTTTCTGCATTGCAGTCTTAGAAATCCAAGAGGTCCAAATCCAAAAACACCAACAGCATCGTTACAGGATGCTTAATTGAAGTATGAAATTACAATACATTATTAGTTCAAAGTTCAAATTTTTTTGGCATACCAAACTCCACTCCATATACACCTTAACTACCAATGCTCCACTACATATACATGTCAAAGATGTTTCCTCTGCAAGACTGCTATTCATTATACTGAACTCAAATAACACTGGTACAATTTCACTATTTGTACTTTATGTTTATTCCACTGACAACATTACTTTACTACTGACATTACTTTGCTACGTAAATGTTCTAAATCTCTGTCCAGACTAACATTTATTTGACAATAACATGTGACATGCCTAAATATGGTCATGATGACATCACATCATGACCATTTATAGGCATATCATGACTATATTTGGGCATTCAACAGTTTTTTGTCCAACAAAATTTGATAATCTGGACATTGCTTAAGGTAATAATATCTGATATGTACTGCCAAGTAACAGCTCATAAACCAGCCAATAGTTAATTTATGACAAGCACAGACTTGCAGTTGGTGCTGAAGAACAATACTTTCTGCTGGCAGATTTTTGGCTTCTTCATTAGATAGCATACAGATGTTGAGTATACAAAATGGTAAACATGATGGTAAATTTATCAAGATGGTTTATTGTGAATTTCATTGACACATTTCAATTCGTTGTCCTTAATTTCACTATCCTTTATAATATTTTCTGAATCACTTTTAGATGCTGCTGCATAGTTCTGAATTCCAACATTTCTAACTTCTGTTTCATCTCTATCTTCCTCCTCCACCACATCTTTCTGTTCCTCTTCCAACTCCTCCTCTTCCTCATTCTCACTGGACTCCTCAGATTCAGGAAAGTCATACGTAGGTTGACGATTAAGATTGCAAACCTCCTTTTCATCATCAATGTCATAAACATCTAAAAGAATAATGGTATAAAATTATAATGAAAATAATGCAAAAAAATACTGTAGACATTAACTTTTGTATTATATACAGTATTGTGTTTTAATTACTTGTAATGCAGCAACAGCTAAAGAGGGGGGGGGGGCATATCACTTTAAACTTTGACTGCTAATTATTATCCTAAAATAAATTAACAAGAATGGATCTGAAATGTTTTTGCAGGGGAGAGTGTAGCACCAATCAGGCGCCTAGTCTGAAGGGAAGAGTTAGGAGATATGTGCCCAGGAGGAAGCCCTCTAAAAGCTCTGGAAATTTTGGTCATTTTAAACTCATATCAATACAATTTCATTGTTGGCTGCTGCTTGGGGACAAGCCTTGTCCAAGCTCTGGGACCACCTTGGATATCCTACTTGCAACCCTTTTCAGAAACAATTGTTCATCTGTGTTGCATGAAGAGCTTATAATAGATGGATATAGAAACAAACAGGCAGTAGAAGAATAATAAAGAGGCGACAATAAAAAAAAAAAGTGCAGTAACATCATAGCCTACATTAAAACAAAACAAAAGGCTAACATGAGAGCTGATAGCTCAGTCGGCTAAACTATTGGTAGCCACTGTGTGTGCGCTAAACTGTAGAGATCTCTAGTCCCCGGTTCAATTCTCATCGCTGCTCTCCTTGTGTTTTGGCTGGAGAGCGGAAATGCAAGTTATGATCGTGTTTCGTATTTAGGATGAGATGTCTAAGCCGCTAGTCCCATGTGCATGTTAAAGTACGCAGTACACTCTTCGGAATAGAATAGGGAATTGTCTCCCAGTGCACTGCCCAATCACCACTAGAAGGACCCCACTGGATCTAAGTCTTCTTTATACTTTCGTAGGATATCCTTGGTGTTGACACCGATTAATCTATACATCCAACAAAGACAGGAGGTGGGTCCTAAGGCCATGCTGGATGAAAGAGTCCATTTGAAAATATTCTTTATTTGACTGAAAATTCTTCCAAACATGTCAGCAAAATATAATTTTTGTAAAATAAAACTAAATCTCCTAATCTTCTAACAATTAATAATTGTTTTACGAAATAAAGAAAGAACTAGTAACTTTTGAATAGTTACATACCTATTTTATCATTGGCTTCATCTTCCTCTTTACATTTCTGCAACCATTGTTGTTGGGCGGCCACCACCTCAGCCCCAGTGTGGCAGGCTGCATATCTATCGAGAATCTCCCTGTTGACGTCAAAAAAACCTTCCCCCCACTTGAAACGTTTTAATAGTTTGATACCATACTCCTTAAGACCTAGAAGATAGAAAAAAGTGAGTTAAATATTAATGATGACGATATGATGCTGAATCATGATGTTAGTATGACAATGTGACAATATCAGGACAATAATGACAATAACCATGTTGATAAGATTCAAGATTATTTTATTGTCCAAAATACGGAAATTCTGTTTGGGTGTAACTATTCACAGATACAAAAATATATATTAAACATCGAAAATATAACAAGAAAAGTAACAAATATAAATATGGAAAAAGATATGACATGATATTGCAACGATATTGATATTGATATTAACCATCATCATGAATTATTAACAAAATAATGAAGTCAACGAAGATAATGCCAATGAAACTGATAATAATATTAATAAGGGTGGTGATATTGAAGACAACAATACTGTGATCAGAGGTGATAATGATAAAAATAATGATTACAAAGATGATGTTACTAAATATTGATATTGAAATATTATTAATCAATATTGATGAAAATAACGAAAACATCAATGATGAGGTCAGAGACAATGATAATGATGTTATAATTATGATAAAGACAGCTGTAATGAGTTCTAAGACAAATAAATGATAATGGCGCAGTGGGAACGGTTTGGTTTCCCAGCTTCAATGTTGGGGCTTTAATCCCTCGCTGTGCATTTCGCTTGTGTCCTTGAGCAAGGCACTTTGTCTGCACTGCTTCTCTCCACCCAGGAGTATGGGCACCTGGTGGGGTTGCCTGCTCCTGCGTTGATTACCAGCAGCAACACTTAGCATGTGGACCAAATGACCAGGGAAAAAGAACTGTGCTTTATAACCTCAAGGAAGAGGCGCATTATAAATGCCTATACCAGTACCAGTACGATCATGATCATGATTATGATGACGATGATTGATTATCAATGTACTGTACTTGCTGATTAGTTCATCTCAATTTTAAGGCATCATTCCAATCAACACATGTGGCAAAGACAAGCCAAACCAGTCACTCGTCGCAAAAATCGATTTTGAGCTATTAATACAGTGTTAGACAGTAAAATAATAGATATAAAATGGTAAAAAAAATCATTCAAATCGGACATTTCCTTATGAAGTTACAAGCGTTTAACCACACAGCTGTTTAAAGAACAATATATGAGAAATTAGCCATCAAAGTTTATGATTTCAGGCATTTCTCATGCAGAAACTATCTTTAAATCCTTAAAAAATATTGTTTTAACATTGAAAATGGGGAAAATAACAGAATAGAATGATGTGTAGATATATAAATGTTAGTTTACAATAAAATAGATTTTTTTAAATTTGACATTCCAGCATGTTTTGGCCATTTTTTCTGAAACACGATTTGCAACGAGTGACTGGTTTGGCTTGTCTTTACCACAATAATAGCATTACTGACCTACTATATACAATGTGGCTGCAAATGCTTCGACACAAGACAGCTTACAGGGCCTTCCATAATTGATGGGATTGACTGCTACAAGGTAAGGCAGCAGCCTAGGCTGGCCTCCCCTCATCTTGCTGAATGGTGTCTCCTCCAGCTTAGCCCAGGAGCAGTCTACTACTGCAATACCTTTAGATAGTACTAGATCCCTGAAAATTCAGAATAAATAAAAATAACTCCAGGAGCAAATACTGTAAATGATTCTGGAAAATAAGGATTTGTGATGTAGGAACTCAAAATTTGGGGAGACTTGACATGCACTGGTGAAGTGCGCCCCCAACCTAGAAATGTTAAAATCAAAGTTAATGGCATTCTGATTATTTGCAGTGTCCGCAACACACAGAAAACTTTTTACGCCGACATCATTTATAAAGTCATTGCAAAAAAGAAAAATTGACACAGAAATACTCAATTACTGGTAAAAGCCACTAAATTAGATTCGTGGGGTGTTTTTTTTCTGAAAATTTGATAGACTGGTACATTGCATAAAAATTCAAAAGATTCCCGATCAAATCGGAATGGTTGGAACGTTTGTGTAGGTATGGTTGCTGTATATGTATATACAGGTCTCCCTCTAATTAAGGACAACTTTTGGGGCCGGGGTTGTCATGGTCTTTAGTAGCCTTGGTATCTAATTAGAAAAGTGGTCTTAAATTGGAGGTGGTCTATCATTAGAAGGAGACCTGTAAAAACCATCATGAGGTTTTCTATATTTATTTATTAATTAATGTGTTTGAAAAAAACCATCATTGTTAAATTGAAACTTAATTTATAAAACAAATGTACTGTATACAATTAGCTTACCTATCCTCTGGGGAAACACATTTAGTCCCCATTGGTGAGAGGATTAAGCCACCAAATCTCTGCGATAGTTTAAGATTACGTACTAATCCCTTGCGGATCAGCTTACGACCTGTACATTTCTTGGGGTCACAATGTTCAAGATCCCACATGGCTAGTGGTAGAGGAACCTTCAAGAACTCCTCATCACTAAGTACCTCCTCACTGCCACAGGCCTCCGCAACATTTCTGCCTTCTGAAATATGAAGATAACCATACAATTATGTATATGATGTCAAGCCATTTCCTTTCCTTATATTACTCAGTTTATATTATTATTGGTTATAATGGCTCCTAAAATTCTAATCAAAACCTGTATTCTTTTTGAATATTAAAATATTATGGTCTTATTATATTTATTATGAACATCTTGCAGTTCTAGGTGAAATGTGCCAAGCCAAGTCGGTATAAACTATTTTTAATAATTATTCCCTTTGAAATTAATTTATATATATTATTTATGTTAACCTATACATACTACTTAAAAACTTCTCCCAAAAAAGTATCGTAAGCTCACAAAGTTAAATTTGTGTTTAGCGCCCTCTGTTGGTAAAATATAAAATATTATTTCTAGATTTCTTTTCACTTGTTAAAGGTAAATAGTAAAATATGTTTTTATTAAATACTGTATATATAAATATTTGACTGTTTAATTTTAATTGTAAAATTGTTGCTTTTTTTTAGATATGTTGTTTTGATAGGCCAATATTGAAATAAACAGTGAATTAAATCGAATTTATGTTGAAATTTTAAAATACCAGCCAGGCTCTGGAAGAAAACAAATTTTTGATATGATGTACTAAAGATTTTTCTAAAGGGCTGTTCACACGTCCATCAAATTTTATGTGACAAATTAGTGTGATGTGCCCATATATGGGCATGATGATGGCATATTACACCCTAAAGCTCCGTCCACACTATAACATTGTATTGACAAATTTGTGTGACCATGGCCATATATGGGCATGATGATGTCATATTACATCCAAATATGGGCATATCAATTTTTTGTGTCACATACAATTTGATAGTGTGGCCAGAATTTAAGGGACCTTGAGAGGTGTTTGAAGAAAAACATTAACATTAAATTAATCCCCAATTCTAATGAAATATTTCATTAAAATTGTGGATTAACTTTAAATAAATCCCCAATTTTAATGAAATATTTCATTAAAAATTGTGGATTAACTTTAAATTGATCCACAATTTTAATGAAATATTTCTCTCGTTGCTTTCTTACCATCAAGGCAATAATTGAGGTCTTCTGACATTTGTTTGAAGCGATCATATTTCTCAGTTTGATTGTGTCGACTCCTTGCTGATGCATTCCCTGGCTTTCCACCTCGACTATGAGTTTTCTTTCGTCCCATCTGCAAAAACAGTAACAATATGAAGTGGCTATTATGACAACAGTCCTAATACAATCCATAAATGTATGAGCTATCCCACACCTTGAGCGCATTTTTGTGTACACATTTGGTTGAGCTCCATGGTTTTGTACAAATTAGGAAGGAAAAAGACGTTCATGATTGGCCCTTGTTTTTGAGCATAAAACTTTCATCCCAACAAAAAACTTTTACATCTGTAGTGGTGGCGGGAGAGTGGTGCTGGGAGAGTGGTGCTGATGCATATACATTCATGCGTAGTAGTTTTATTTGCTGCTTCCTTTAAACTTGCAGTAACTCACCATAACGCCACTAAATTTATTGAAGAGGCGTTGAGGGCTGGTGGGCCGTTTATAACCCTTTTTTAATAGCTCCTCGTCTTCTATTTTTTCATCGTTTCTCCACCAATCCAAATGAATGGTTTAACAATAATCTAAAGCAAGTCAATACAAGCAGCTGATTGAGATGACTGATTCGTGTTCATGCGGCGCCCTCCCATTTGGACTCCTCAACACCACACGACTACACACAGAACTGAATTTAGCTACTTTTGTGGAAGAAAATAATTATTGCGTGACAAATTATACGACACCTACATCATCACTTTCAAGTTTCAAATAGTCAGGCCTAGGCCTATCCATGTTACCACTGACAGTTCTCCCTCCAGCCAAGCCGCGCGTACTAGTCGTTCGTTGGCCTTAGCTTACTTGACAGACTTGGGACAGGGCATGGCCACACTTAGCTTTTTTGTATTTTAAAACAAGGCTGAATCAAAAGAGTGTGGTTAGTGGCTTACTTACGCTATGAATTTATCGAAATAACCAACATTTGTGATGACATATGCATAAAAATTTAACCAAAATCGGCTTTACTTTAACAATTAAATGAGGAGTTTGTTTGTTTACGTTTCACATTGATCCGGAAGTGATTCTTCCACGTGTGTTGGAAAAGTCAACACATAACATCACATGATCTTCCTGACCTCAGTTCCGAAGATCATTCACTGATGAAAGATGGCTCCGCCAGCACCACCGCCGCCGCCTCCCCCGCCCATACAAGGTGCTGATACTGGGGTTGCTGCTACTCCTAATTTGGAAGTGAGTATACACATGTGTTGTTATGTGATAAATTTGAATCATCGTTTTATGAAATCAGGGTATTATCACCGGGAAGCTAGATAATTGTTGCACTGAAAATAGCTAGGCCTAGGCTAACTTGGTCCTTAGTCAGGAAGAATTCAACTCATTCCTCAAAAAGCAGACTATGAGGCTAGGCTTCTTCTTAGGACTAGGCCTAGTTCAGTAGTAGACCCTTGTCTTGTCTAGTAAACTTAATATCAATAAACGAGATCAGGCATGTATGGGCTGAAAGAAAGAGGTGGAACATAGTTAACTCCTTAACAAAAAGAGTTGCATACCTAACCTAGGCCTACTAGGCTGTAGTATTTTTAGGTATTCCTAGCTAGGCCGGCATAGGCTACAGTAGTTTGGTTTTATAAATAAAAGGTAGGGCTGAGGCCTTTTTGCATTGGTGCGAGAACTCTTAAATCCAATTGTTAATGTTTCTCTATTGTAATTAAATAATTTTTTGTTGTGTTGAATGCATTCTTAAGAATAGTTTAGAAATGTACAGTAAGTATTTTAAATAACTGTAAATAAAGCTAACAGTTTATAAATGAATAAACTTGTTTTAAAAACTCACTACATTCTGATAATGAAAATGATTTTGAATAAAGTAAACATACTTTTTTTGCCTTTTGGCACACCCACCTCTGTAGAATTTCTTCTAAAAAATTATCTTTTTCCTTATTTTCCTTAATCATGCCTGTCACAACCAGGAAATCTAATAAAATGTATGAATTTTTCACAAAAATGTAATGCATTATCAATCAATTTACTGATTACATCACAACGTAACATTCTTTATATTGACAATGCAATAAGCTAATTTGTAGTTTTAACTTTGCATGCCTGTATCCAAGATCAATCGACATAAAAATATGTTGTGTGCATTTTTGTTTATATCAATGATCTTGATACAGGCATGCGCAGTTTAAACTACAAATTGGCTTATAGGATCTCAAGGCAGAGGCTAAGTCTTCCTCTACTGTTTTTGTTATCTCACAATTGCATTTTTCCTATGCAAAAGTTTGCTAAAGGTGTAGAAAAAAATATGCCTTATGTACCATATAATTTATTGCATCAGTTAAAACAGCAGTCATTTTTTAGTATACATGTGTAAGTTTAAAATGTATGATTCATTGTGTAGAATAACTATGGCAACAATTAGAAATTGACATATGGGTATTTTTAGACTTCATAAATGAATAAAGGAAATCGTGTCAATATCAATTTCCTGTCTTATCTAAAGGATTTGTGTGCAACCATCGAGGTATTTTTTTTTCACTTTTTCAGCTGAAACAGAAGATTTAATATCTAATATTATTAATAAAAGCACATTCAAAAATTGTGAACAATATACTATACAGTATAATTTAAATTAATTGGGTTATTAATTGTGTTTTGACAAAGATTTAAAATAGTATTTTTTCTATATTGATGAATGATCTGAATGTTATTGTCAACATCCTAATGATATACTGTAATTAGTGGGACAGTCAATAAAATTGTGGTTTATAAAATAAACAACATTATAATGTTGTTGCTAAGCAATCAAACACCCTCTATTTTTGGCCTCTGAACATTCAGACAGAATTAGGCTTAAAGAAGGCACTACAAAGGAGTTTTCCTAAAGGAAGCCTGCAATACGCACAACAGGAAACTTAGTCAGAAATACGTAAATTCGCTTCTTTCCTTTTAATTAAAGATATTCATCTCAATATTGAAATATGACCAAATATAACATAAAAAATATTACAGCACTATGTAAAAAAATAGAGCACCAGTTTAATTGATACACATTTTAATGTTTGGACCATTATAATGACACTAGTAATTTTATATTAATTAGATAATGTAAAACTAAATATAGAAATTATTGAGATAATAATAGATTAGGTTTGAACAAAAAATTTTTCAGAACTAATTATAGAAAGTAGAAATATAACTTCCCTATTGTCACACACAGAATGTTGTGTTTATTGTCTCACTTCGCATGCATTTTATCAGTGATTAATGTGGTACGCGACATTGAATGGTGATCGGCTTCTCATTAAGCATCACACTCGCAGTTGTGTCTGCTTACACGCAGGAAGTTGTGTATGAGTAATACCTCTGTGTAGGTATACTCACGACAAACGTTAGCAGACGTTCGGCTGCAGTGTGCAAAACCTTTTTCATGGTAGCTTCTAACTTGGCTCAGATATGTTTCGTTCATGGCAAGAGGTGAGGCTTTCTGGCATAGAATTCACTATTATAGACATGTGTACACGTCTTGTAGTTTACTGTAGTTGTCTAACTGGGCCTAGCTGTTGTCGTAGGGTCGGTCAGAACAGGACTGACACATCTTGGTGAAATATCTGTGACTATTAGTACTAGGCTTATATGGCTAACCATTGGCTGAGCTGTATCCTGAGGCCAAATGGCTACTTTATGAGTGTGAACTTAATGAGTGTGAACTGAATTAGAGATTAAATTCGTGTTAAAATACCACAATTAAAACCGGAATTGTTTTCTGGTACACTTGATAGAGGGGGTAGTAGGATTAGTAACTGGCTGTTGATAAACAAGGGACCGCACATTGTGATCTTGATGAATTGGTTAGTTAGAACATTGTGTATCTCAATGTTGCTTGAGATAGCAAGATGGCTGCCACTCTAGATTGTCGTTTTGTTGGCAACGGTGTAAATTATTGCAATTCTACTCCAATTCAATGCTTTTTGTATGCACATTTATTTATTTTTTTGTTCATATTCAATTCTCAATAAAATGATATTATAACACTATAAACAGCAATGTTTGCTACTGCTAGTTCACATGAGATAATAGTGTAGATTTGTAGGTTAGCAACTGGTATCCATCAATCAAGATATTCATGGCGCTTAATATGTGGACTAGAAACTCCCTTAGTGTCTGTGCTACTTGGTAATCCGGTACCTACTAGCAACTCTCGTTTTCCACCACAGGGGTTGACTGTACCAGTAAACCGAGATATTTCCTCTCCTCATTTCAAATAATGTACTGGGTTCTTTGTGCATACAAGCCATTTTGTACACTGGGCCTATGGTTTATAGTCTTTATCTGAGAAAACGTGTTCTACTACAGAACCATAGACGAGCGTGCCGTTCAAACCAGCGCTGATATTATGACTGTAGGTTCAGCGCCCCTGCCTGTTCTCGACCATTCAACTCGACATACTGTGCATACTGCAATTTAAGGAAGTTATGTATTCAGATAAACGTGTGCTCATAGGGTAATAGTAAAATTGTACTTGTCTGCATTTCATACCACATTATGTTGTTGAAAAGCCAATATTGTCAGATTTAGTTAGCCAGATTTTCGTAATTTACAAAGATTTTGTAAAATAAATAAAATAAAAAAATAAATAAATAGTACAAAATTTTAAAAATGTTGAAGTTAAAAAGGTATCTTTTGTATTCATGTTAATGTTTTTTCTTGTCAATGATCACCAGATGTTCTGAAAACAGAACAGTTATTGCTAATAATAATAATAATGTTTGGCTGTATATATTTTATTTTAGAGTAATCATATAAACTCACATTAGAAAACCCTCATTTGGGAAAATATGAATATTTTTTCAATACCCAGTAATTAACTATATAAACAGTACCACAATTTGTTTGGCAAGGGTCTACTTTGGTTTAACACCCTGGAGTGCTTGGCCTAGTATAATTTGCATGGTTCCAGATAAAGCACAGCTGAGCTCTTCCTAAAATCGACATCCTATACTTAGTTTTGAGCCTAGTCAATTACATTTCCATAATTTCGTCTCTACCTCGCTGTTTTTGCCAAAACCATTTTGCTATGTGATAAAACAATTTTTTTTTTCTGTCTTCTTCTGACAATCTTTAAAAAATAATTCCCCTGAACAAGGTATTAATTTCTCACCTTAGTCTTGCTAAAATGATTAACAAAATTAAAGTGGCCTTTGTTTTGTTTTACAAAAACGACTTTCCCACCAACGAGCATTACCTATAGGGCCCAACTTGGCCAAGTGTGCCTTTGAGCAGATATATGAATGTACTTCAAAATACACTTTAAAAATGCCAGAACTGGTATAATAATTTTTTTTTCTCCTTTATACTGGGTATGCTGTTCAGTAGACTGTTCCACCCGATTCTACCTAATAGATCTCATAAGTATCAGTTTTGGTGACATCACCATTCATGATGCGGTCACCAAACCTGATTAGGGGATTCTGATCAGATGATTGATGACTGGTGCTGTCACCAGCATAGAAGTGTATCAGCATTTTATTTGTCACCAAAACTGATCCCTTAGGTAGAATCACCTCACTGTTCTCCCACAGGGCTTAGTTATTCTTTCATAATGAATTCTCATTCTTAAGTCCCTCTCCCACCTAGGTTGATTTCATCCAAATGTCGCATGAGTTCTCCGAGTTAAAAACTCGTGAAACTCATGATTTAATTTCCTTGGGAAAGGACCTTAATACAAGCTTACTACGTGTTAACTATGAGTGAGGTATAACCTTACGAAATTGGTTACAAATTATACGAATTATGCCGAAGCATCCAAGTTTAATACAAGCTGTACGAGATTATTACAAGTGTAACAAGTTTGTACCAAATTAGATACGAGTTAGGTACAAGCATTCCGATCAAATGTTCCTGGTGATTGTAACCAACTCGGTGTGATCATAACCAACTTGGTGTGCTCGTACTTGTTTTGGTGTGCTCGCATCAAACTCATGCATTACAAAACCGCCAACGAGTATCCCAATTATTGTACAAGTTAGGTAGGAGTACCCCGAGTTTACTACGAGCTGTCAACTCGTAGCACTAATTTTGAACATGTTCAAAATTAGCAGCACGAGTTTAGAGCTGCTACAAGTAAGTAACTGTTCTCCCCGAGCTTCCCAAATCCTTTGTGTTTATGCCGAGTTCAGCAACTCGGCAAACTCTTCTAACTCTTATGCTGAAAAATCCCTATTGGGAGAGGGCTTTAGGAGTTGTTTTAGTCATGAGAATAATCCTGGTGTCACAGGATTTAAACCCTGGACCCTAGGACTGGAATGCAAGCATCTTGGACCACCAAAGCTATTCAACTCCACTGATGCGTAATAGACTATTCAGGGCCAGTGTCACGTTTTCAGCCACTACACCACATGCTTTCACATTACTGTATATTGCTAATCAACGTAAAACTCTTTTCTAGGCAACGCAGGAGATTGGATCAGATGGAGGTCAGAGTTCAGGAGCAGGTGCTATGGCCTCTGGTACCAGCAAAGAAGAGAAGTCCATGACACTGGATGAAGTCAGAAAGCAGAGCTGTAATTGGTCAATGGCATCAGATGCTGGGGTAAGAATATGTAAACAAACGATTACTTCCATTACTCTATATGTATGTCTCAGTATTATTTTTTTTTTTTAACCATATTTATAAAGAGGGTGACCATTTCAGTGTACATCCTAGAAGTCGTCAGATATTTTAGCGGCCCTCTTAAATAAATGAAATAATGTGATGCCTTTATTAGTGAAGTCTCTTTATGAGGTTTACAGTAAGGAGGGGTGTTGTTTTTAGAGATTGAACCCAGGACCCTGGGATTAGAAGGCAAGCATCTTACCACTAAACCTTTTCAACTTTATATACAGTACTTCATACAGTACATAGATCCTAGGCATATGATTGGTTAAGAAGCGGGCAATAGAAAGTACTATTCTCCTCAAAAATAATACTTTTTTGCCCTGCCGCGTGATGTGCAATCTCTAGGCCGCATTGCTATTTGTAATTTATGACATAAATGGTAAAGGAGACCTCTGCGACGCTCACCAAGATATATTAACCATTTGATCGCCTAGGTCTAGAAGTACTGTAAGCCTAGGCCTACTTGGTGTGTAATATTTTCATTAAAATTTTAGTTTTCGTATATAGGCTTAGCCAGCGAGCTGTCTGGCCGTTTTTTGGACGGCCTACAATTATTTAGGACGGCTACTTATGTCTTGACGGCTTGGACAGCTTGTCCTAATCAGCTCGCCTAGCCAAATTGGGCCTGGTCTACCTTTAGTAAATTCTTGATATTCTTCAAATCTATCAAATGTTACATTAAACTAAAGCTAAATCATATTTACATTTGATAAAAACAATGTTTATTGATTGAATGTACGTTGTTTTCGTACCAATATTCGGTGAGGATTCTCAAAGATGGGCATGGCTTGCCCACCGGCTCAGTGCCAAGCCTACTGGCCTCCATTTTGGAGGGCCTATTTCGTTTTTCTGGCTAAACCACTGTTGTTGTAGAATCTATGTATGAGGTATATAAATCAAATATTGAGTGCTCTAGATACGGGGAATGGTAAAATCTGTAGCCCCTAGTGATGTGGAGACCATAACCTACAGTATGTTCCACAAGATAGGCTACAGTTTCCACATCACTTCTGAGCAATACAGTAGATTTCACCATTCCCCTCATGAGCAGTCAGTATTTGCATACTACAGTACAGTATTCCATATTCTCTGCAGTAATGTCTAGCCAGCTAGTCAGTAGATGTGGCATAGTTTATTTTTTGAAGCATACAGTATAGAGACAGAAAGGGAAAGTGCTCCTTGCAAAAAAACTGCGATCAGTTTAATAGTTATTTTCAATTGCCTAATTCTGTTTGTAGTTGTGGCACCAAAAACAGCAGATTTTATTGCATTTGATTGTTGTATGGAACGCCTTTCCATGAAAAAGCTGTTAAATATGCAGTACTTGCTTTTGGGTAGGAAAACTAATTCTTCAGCAAAGTGCCATATCTTTATCTAAATGGGTTTCTAATGCCTGTTTAATGGCACGTCCCATGGAGATGGGGTCAGTTATCGAACCTGAAAAACGATGCCAATATATTTCAGTGTTGTTTCTATGTTGTCAGGAAATTTAATAGGAGTGATGTTTCACCCTACTTTACGTGTTATCGCAATGAATACTTAGTACATTCCCAAACATATGCAAAAAAAAAAAATCTTGAGGTGGGATTCAAACTCACTACCTCCAAATAACTAGGCTAACCACTAGAAGATATTTGTAAAGTCAAAAGACAGAAATATTATCCCTTTAGATCAATCTATTATAAAAATGTTTATGGAATTGAGCACTTTTCAGAAAACGAAGAACATAATTTGTATGATCAACGTTTATTTCTGTTGGATATTAAGTTGTGTCATGTGTAATGTAGATCACTATATAATAATATAATAGTTTTTTTTTTTTTCTTCACTTTCAAAAGCCGCTGTCACACTCGGAGAAAATTGACCTTAAAGATACAAACTGTGTATCATCTAGAAACTTTAAAGATGTATAATTGCTGAATCTCGATTATGCTTTAAAACTGTGATGACAGAGTACAACTAATCCATAGACCTTCAGAAACACATAATTTATTTTAATTGTGTATACAATTATTTTATTCTTCATTAGTTTTGTTTTGATAGTTGATTATATTAACGTACAGATAATGTAGCTCATATACGCTGTACATTGCATCCTGAATAAAACAAAATAGAAATGCATATTGATCTCACAATTTAGAAACACATAATTATTACACATATAATACGATTATTTTATTCTTCATTAGTTTTGTTTTGATAGTTGATTATATTAATGTACAGATAATGTAGCTCATATATGCTGTACATTGCATCCTGAATAAAACAAAATAGAAATGCATATTGATCTCACAATTTACAATTTGATATTTTTATTATTATTATTAAAAGGTAACTGCAGGGAACTTATTTCAAATTTTATATTTTACCTAATTACAATAATCAACATAAATTTATTAGCTTTTCTCTTTGCTGATGTTTTTAATAAATGGAAATTAAAATAGACACACACATGACTTAAAATTACATTTCAATAACATACAATAGTTGATTAAGAACATCAAACACATTTATAGTAAAGTATCGTATTAACAAATATATTTTCATATTTTGTATTTTCATTCGAAAATATTTTGACTTGCCCTTTAAGGCAAGTGTGAACCTGTTCTTCTTTTTAATAACAGTGCTTATGATATGACAGCAGCCTGCTACCTGGATTATGTGAGGAATATTAACGACAGTCATTCCCAAAGCAATGCAAGAGTTTTAAAATAGTATTCATGGTTTCATCGTTCGCTGTTTGCCATAACAAAATGTGCATTCCTATTTATTGCTTTTATGTGAATTCAATTTTAATAATTTAGTGAACCTTTATAGTTGTGTTTAAAAATCAGTGTTTGTTATTGTATTTTTTATAAATTATAATTTACGAAATTATATAATAAAAAATAGCCCCTCAGATTAAAACAACTGCAGGCTGCTTAATAATTGAAACAAGGCCAAACAAATACATAATCAATGACAATAAAACATCTATGATGCTACTGTAAAAAGAAAATCAGTGCATTATGATGAAAGCTCAATAATATGGTGGTTTTTTTTGTGATAATTATATTGATAATAATTATAATAACAATAATAATAATAATATTAATTTTATATTAATAACAAGGTTTAATAACAAGTTCAATTGATAATTATTTGTCGTGCTGATTACTATTCTATTTATCCATCTGTCTTATTGTCGTCATTGTAGACATGATCATCATCATCATTAGCTTATAAGCGGCCCATTCATCAATTTGAACAATTGAGAATTGTTAAAATTCTCATCGACAACTGCTATCAGTACTAGCAGTTATTTTTTCATAAAGTAGGCCACACCTTAAAACATGTTGTAAATATATCCATAAAAAAATTGTCGGGCATAATCCTCTTTAAACGACAAATAGAGACAGAAAGGGAAAGTGCTTCTCGCAACAAAAAACTGAATTACTCTTGTATAGAAATTGGAAATTATCTAATTGTTATAATTCATACAGTATACATATAAAATGTGTATTGAATGATAAATTATTTACAAGATTTTAAAGATTCAACTGATTGCTTTAGAGTTGCAGTCTAAAAATCAGCCTAAAATTATTTTTTTTGTCTTGCATAAGTCACATTCACTGCATTTTTTGCTAAACCTTTCTACACTCCTTGATAAGCACAAAGTAAACTAGCTTGAATCTATGTTGAAGGGCATTTTCACTTTTAATCCTTAAGTTACGAAACTGTAGGCTTGACACCCTGACCTCTGATGAATAGTGTCCAAAATTTGCTACAAAAAACGTGATACAATAATGACATATTGATTGGTCTCGATGTAACATACTCGCGTCTAAGACAACCCCTAAGTTTGAGAAGATTTTTGGACAATTTTTGTAGGTCGGGCGTATAAGGCATACTTTTCTGATTTTATGGTCTTATTACTGCATGTAGCTGGCTAGAAACGGAATCAAATGCAGGGCTAATCTTCCAAATAATACCATTTTGAGAATTTAAATGTTCATCAATTCCAAGTATTTAAAATTGCATTCATTCTTAGGCCTACTAAAATTTTAGTAGCTTTATTGAATTTTAAAATCTATAAAATTTGTATGTCACACGTATTTGTAGGTGTTGCACGTATAAGACGACGGCCTGTTTTTTTTTTTTTATCGTAATTTGCTATTTGAGCCTAATCTTATACATGAGTATATACGGTGCACTGAACATTGTGTCCCTATTTAATGTTTTTCTATATTTGCCAATTTAAAGTCGGAGGTATGTCCTGGTCTCGACGCTTTATTAACGTCACTATTAGATAGGTTTTTTTTTTTAAGGCTTCTATGAATGGATACCTTGTTCCAAGCAAGAAATCAAGTTATTTTTACTGTGCCCAGTAGCACTTGTTTATATTATTCGTGTGGGAAATTTAACTTATGTTGAATGTATCGTGTTTTGTATTTTGTCAGTGTTTAAGCTGTCATTAGACAAATTGTCAAATCCTAAATAAATACTGAACTTTGCTAAATATTTCCCTTCAATAGCCAAAACGCTAATAGAATTAAAGCTATCATTGCTTATTTCTTTTGTTTTGGCTAATCAAAATGTCTATTTGGCTATATAACACCGAATTAGCTAAATTGCTAAATAAAATGTTTGGCCAGCTTAAACCCTGTTTTTTTGTTTATTTTTTCGGCTTGGCTCAGAGAAAGAAGTGCCCTGTACTATCTGAACTTCTTTGGCTAAACAGACCTGTATCCGGTGTCCATTTTCTTATACCCTTGCATCCCTTTCCCCCCTCCCCCTCCCTGGCAATCCTGAATATGGTCTTGCTGCATTTACTTGAATCCTAATATAAACTTCATGCTTCATATATAGACATATCATGGGTATATCATGACTATATATGGGCATACAACAGTTTTTTGTCAAAGAAAATTTAAAATTCTCTTAGTATATAAGTATTTTAAAAATGTTATGAAATAGTTATTCATGTTCTTCTCTTTCAGCTGCTATTGTACTTGCAAGAGTTCTCGCATAAGATGATAGCAAGGACCAGTGAACTGGAGAAGATGGTAGATGGACTGGTTAATGAAACAAAGAGTACAGACTCCAAGGTTCATAACACTCTTAACGATTTCTTGATGATTGCCAACACACAGTTTGTTGAAAATGTAAGTCATGTAATCAGTTGTATTGTCATTTTACAGAATGGATGCATTATTAGCTCTCACCTTATTATATGATGCAATTTCATCCATTCCAATCATTTACAATGTATTTTTTTTCATTCATATTTTATGCCATGCATTCTTAAGCATTCTTTCATCCTTTTACATGCGTTAATTCATTTGTCCCTTTACGTCATTTATTTGCCATTTTGTAATTCCATCACTCTTTCATCCTTCCATTCATTCATTGTTACATCATGCTTTCATCATTTATTAATTTCTTACATCACTCATTCTTCGTTCTTTCATCTTTTAAGCTTGTTTTCTCACTTGCGAATTTATTCCCTCGAGTCGAAAGCGTCGGGTCATGTTCATCTGCATTTACATTTCAATCGGAGTTTTTGCTTCAGCAAAATCGATAGTTCAAACTGTTTCTACTTTTTGCGAAGCAAAAAAAGTGAGCAACCAATCAGAGCTCAGGAACGGAACCGACACCTTCAATTTGCGCCAATAAATTCGACTAGTGAAAAAAATAGGCTTTGCATCATGCGGCAGCTTTTACTTTTTGGTCTCTAAACCTTGAGATTGGAGGATCAAACCCTTTAGGTAATTTCTTTACCTATGTTTGTTTCTCTCCACCCAGGAGTATAAATGGGTACTTGGTAGGATGATTAAATGTATCAGTCTGTATCGGTATTAAATTGCAAGAACGACTAGGAACACTCCTCGTGTAATTCAGGAGGTTGCACTTTGTGCTGGTCAACTATATATCCAATGACCAGTGGTAATAATCAGTGGCGCCGAGAGGCCGGGGCAGACGGAGCAAGGGTCACAAATAAACAAAAAAATATTTAAATATAGGCCCTACTTGTCACAGAAATAAAAAAAATATACTCCACGATTAAACTAACCAGGGATATTTTTGTTTTATGTAATAGACCTAGCCATAATGTCGTAGAACAACATATTCAGTCAATGTTTTGTGGTGACTGTTGTCCCTGGTTAGATAGGAAAATGTCTAATAAATCTTTTTCATGAACATTTTCTTGACTTCTACTACTCTAGAGTTTATGTTTTACAATGTATAGTAAATTCTGTGCGTTATTAATAATTATTAAAGGGTTTGGACCCTGGACATTTTCAATATACATACAAGTTAGAAATTATGAATAAACCTGACAGAGCTCTCAGCTTCGATTGTCAAATAAATACTGACTTAATATATTAAAGTGAGCTTTGATTTGTTAAATTAATCTTTTCAGCTCTAAGTTTGAATAGAAGGAAATATAGCTTTTATTACTTTTCATTTTTCCATGTACTTTATTGTTCTTGACCTGGTGAAATTAAGCACTTTATAATCGATTAAATTAGTCCTCTAATCCGTTGAAAGGCATTTAGCTTCCGTGAGCTTTGACTCTGGCCCCCCCACCAGGCCTCTGCCCTTGGACCTGCGACTTGGGGCTCTAGGTTGCCCCAGACCCCCAGCCAATGGGCCTGCGTAGCAAGCCATGGCTGCTCTCAGCAGCCCTGGTAATAATAACAACATGTCACTGGCAGTGCCTTGTATCTTTTGGCAAATGGTGCAGTATAAATCCATATATTATTATTGTTCATTAAAGGCACTTATTTATTCATTACTTATATCACTTGTTTTTCATTCTTTCATTCTTTTTTCACCATCAATCGTACATTATTTATTCATTACATTCATATATTTATTATTTAAGACTTGATAGTTGACTATGGATGTGATGTGACATCATATTATTAATTATTGATGTTTGCTCATTCACTCTTATAGCGTGTGTATGATGACTCTGAAGAAATGGACATGCAAAATGCTGAAAAGACTAATTCAGTAAGTAATCACTAATAAATAACCAATTAGTACATACTTAATTCCTATTAATACATTCTGTAATAGGCATTAGATTGTCAATAAATATATTATTAATTGCACTTAATTATTTTGGAGTACTGTAGTATGTGAAGTACTATTAAGTTGCAATTTTTATCTTGTTTAAGATTTGGCAACTGTCTAGGTGTCTGTGTTTGTCACCTTGAAACCTTTTCAATTATTTCCTTTTAAATTATCAGTCTTTTGATTGATTTATTGACTTATTGATTTATATATTTATTTTATGTATTTATTTATTTATTTATTATTTTATTTATTTATTTCATTTATTTTATTATTTTATTTAATATTTACTTATTTAAAAATTTCTTTTTTCTTTTACCGTATCCTGTCATCTTCTATTTTGTTTTCATTCCCTTTTCTTCTTTTATTTATTATTTTTTATTTATTTTCTTTTAAAAATTTGAGAGTCAATTTTGGAACACATTATTTTGAAACTGAAACTCATTACTTTCAGGAGAAAAAGGAAGTTACAGAAGTAGACTTGATACCCAAGGTATCGAAAGCGTTAAACCTTGGTATCAACGTAATTGACACTGCATTCGATACATTAGATGCAAATGCTGGTAATTCCGACTCAGAAGATGATGATGTTAGTTATCGACATGAACCAATTCTTGAACCTAAGGTTAGAGAATAACGTTGATCTCTTTAATTAATTTTATTTTATACGGCTTAACGTTATATTTTATTTTATTCATATATATAACATATTTTATGTTAATGCTTTTAAATGTATATGTTCAAAAAATATTTTATTGTGCGAAGTGAGTGATTTCATAACTCTGTCCTTAATATTTTTGTCATACATTTCGGGAACCTGCCTGTTGACATTTTTATTAATATCAATGTGATTTTTTAATGTAAATGTTAATTGAATCCTTTTATATATTTGACTATGTTCTTCTCGTTGTTCAGTTTTTCTCTGCGGAGAGCCACTTAGTCTGTTATTTATTTTTTTTATAACATTTTGGCAATCCTGTCTCGCAGATTTACTGCCTGTGTTTTTGTATTGTATGTTATGTTAAGTCAAAATAAATGATATATGATATGATATTATATTCGACTTAGAATCAGGTTATTTTACTTGACCTAGGTTTGAATTTTACAGCATGGGTTAATAAATTTGTAATTTGATGCAAACTTTAATTTGAAGAAACACATTTATGTTTGTATTGTATTTATTCATGTATTTATATATTTTTATTCCAATGATTTTTTTTTTAACTCATGAAGCACATTTTTTATTTAAATATTCATCTCCATCTTTGATTTAATAAAGTGAAATGAAACTATGTATTTTCAATATTGCTCACATATTTTACCTAGGCATATTTTTTTCCAATGATTTTTTTTAAACTCATGAAGCACATTTTTTATTTAGATATTCATCTCCATCTTTGATTTAATAAAGCGAAATGAAACTATGTATTTTCAATATTGCTCACATATTTTACCTAAGGCATATTTATACCTAATAATTGATAATAACCAAAACAGAAATTGTGAAACTCTTTATTATCAATTTTTAATTTACAAATTATTAATAAAGTACATGATAATAGTAACATATATTTTTCCAGGACCCATATAGTCACCGTCCCCTGCCTCATATCATTGGGTCAAGACTGTTTATGGAAGAAGATGATGTTGGTCTCGTTGACTATATAAGTGAAGGTATTTTACAAACAAAATGTCGAACTACATAAGAACGTGACCTGGAATTTTTTTGTACATTTTTTATATGAATAAAGAATGATTTAATAATAAATATAATTGATGTATGCTGCTTAACATCTTAATTTTAAATATATATAATATATTAATATATCAATCAATTAAATTATTTTTAAAACAAAATTTATTGACAAAAAAGAAGATCGACATTTAGAGTCCATCAGGGACACATTCTCCAGATCAAGTGAACAACAATAGACAAAAATAGACAAACCTAGAAGGCAACATGGATTAAAAAGTCAGAAGATTAACACCTACTGTGTTAATTGTTCCTAGATACAGTAGTAATATATCAATCAATTAAATTATTGTGCTACTTAATAAGTTGACAAATTTTCGTAATCATATTTCAAACATTTTTGTGCAATGATTTATATTTTTGTCATATTTTTATATATTTATCTTCATCCCGTAATCGGTGTATACACTGTTGTATTTTTGAATTAAATACAAAAATACAAGAATACATGAATGAGCAATTGGATGAGTGAATGAATGAATGAAAAAATTAAATATATATAATATATTAATATATCAATCAATTAAATTATTGTGCTACTTAATAATTTAAAAAAATTTTGTAATCATATTTCAAACATATTTTTGTACAATGATTTATTTATTTTTTTTAGTAATTGGATGAGTGAATGAATGAATGAAAAAATTAAATCATTAATAAAATAATGAATTAATTGTACAAGTGAATGAATTAATTGATAAGTGAATGAATGAATAAATGATAAATTATAATCTCACTTTTACCATCCCTTGACAGCTAGCTTTTTGTAGTTCTATCAAGATATGAGGCGCCTGAGTCCTGGGTTGGCCGAGACCCAACTGGTGCTTGACAGATCCCTGCTCAGCGACGAATGCATATCCCCATACTGCGGTTTAGGTGCTGGCTTGGATTTTCTTTTTTTTATTTTCCAGTTACATCTGCTCACTTGTTCTGCGCATAGAGACTCTCATATTTTGCGCAATATAAATGAATAACCTTTAACCTTTAACTCATTAAAGCTGATGACCTAAGCGGTACAGCAAGTTCAGTGTCTGAGAGTGAAGAAGAGTCAGACTTATCCGAGTCTGAGGTAAGTACTTATATTTTTACCCTTTATTAGAAAGAGTGCTATAGAAATGCTATACAAATAATAATTATCACCATTGGTTGGACAAAATTGCATTTTGCACTTTATAGTAGCTACATATAATGATGTTATATTTATTTTTATTGTATAGTATTCAGAATCAGAGAGTGAATCAGATTTAGAAGAAGGGGACATTGTAAGTATGATTATTATTATAATTATTATTTTATTTATTATTATATATATTTTATTATTATTATTATTATAATTAGTTTTATAGTTTAATTAGTACTATCATTCAATCATTTAAATTTGTTATGCGAGTTTAAATTTTTTCACTATGCCTCACTTGAAAGTTTCCTTGTCTGTTTTGAGCAGCGATGTTTGCTGTGGATTTCAGTTTATATTCAAAGAAAAGTAAATAAATGAATAAAAACAGAAGAATAGAATGAAAAATCATTTTCCTTAATTGGTTTTATTCCAGGTTGACTCTCCAGTCTCGGATGCTGATGAAGATGATCTGTTTGGAGGAGATTCAGATGAATTTGAGAATGGACCACAGGTAAGATAATTGGCAACATTCTTAGCATCTTCCATTGCATTCATTTCTGCTACATAAGTTTTTGCAAGTCTAATTGTATTGTAAACATATTCATATTTTTTTGTAGTTTAAAAGGGATAGGGGTGAGGTGCCAAACTTGATTAGCTCTAGCTATACCGTGGTTACATTTTGTATTCATATGTTTGATACAATAAAGAAGAATGTATGTATTTTCTATTACTATAATTTTCAGAAGCCTGATTTTACCTCAGAATTGGCAGCGAAGATTGCAGTAGGCGATCAAAAAGGTAAAAAAATGTTGAGTGCAAAACAATTTTTTTTTTACTCTAATATCCAAATTGTCTACATATCCAGTAGCAACATATAACTTTTATCTGATTTTTTTTTTTTTTTTACTTTAGTATTTTTTAGTCTTTTTTATTAATTTTGCATTTTTATATAAAGTGTAATTACTGGACAGTTCTTGATGTTTACTGTATTTTGTAACCAGATCTTTAAATATGATTAATTAATAGAACTCTACAAAATGAAAATAATATTCTATATGTTTTTATTTTTTTCTTTTTGTTTTTATGTTTTATATTTTTATGTTTTTTTTGTTTTTTATGTTTTTTTAGTTTTATTTTCTATTGTGTCAGACAAGTATGACTCGTCTATTTTTATTCTCTATGTGTTGCAGATCAACGAAGGGATCGATCATCTAGTAAATTATCTACAACATCAGGGAAAGACAAGAAGAAAAAGGAATCTGAAAAGAAGGAAAAAAGAAGGAGGAGAACCTCTACAAAATCATCCTCGAAAATGGAAGGTAAAAATGTTCAAGTTAAAGTATTACTTTGTTCATTATTAAGTTATTCAACTTAAACAATATCTAATAATTTTCATTGTCAGTCATCTTTTATTGCTGCCAAATTTATTTTTTGTGTACCATAGTTCCCCGGGTATAATGCCACCCCCCCATAAATGCAAAATTGGTCCAATTTTGTAGGGGGGGGGGGTTGGGATTATACCTGGTGGTTTCCTGTGTTCATGAACAAAACGAAAACTACGACCGTTTTGCGAAGTGGCCGATGCATTGAACAATTGCTCTACAATTCAATGGTCTATCTAAAACAATATTCCGGTGAAGGAATCATGCTTTACTCGAGCATCAAAGGGAAGGGAACACCCTAAATGTAGTTAGCAGCTTGGTGTTACCTCGTGCTAGGCCAGCCTTTGCCTAAACTTGCTTTCGTGATGTCATAGGTTAAGACTGCCGACTTGTAATGCATGATGTAACAAGTTATTCTTAGTAGCAAATCTCTGTGGAAACTATGAATTAACGATCTGATCACCCCACTGGGCAGGCCTCTTTAGCGATGCGCTGCAGTATTGTCTATTTTTAGGCGCGGCTGTGGAGCATGTGATTCTTCACGCTGTGAATTAACATTCCAATCAGTCCACTGGATGGTGTTGTCTATTTTTAGCTGCAGTTCGTGAGCTGTTTATTTCTAGCGACATTAAACAAAAATTTACAAGGATGGGCTTTGTATTCAACTTTACCACAATCAATGTCTGGTCTAATCAATTGGAAGAGTTTCAAGGCCTACTCCACCAAATTATACCCTGGGACTTTGCCTTGGGAAATTCTTGTACGCAAATTTGGGCATTAAGTGGGTGGGGGTGGGACTATACCCAGGGAACTACGGTAATTAGAATTTTGGAAACTCACATTCACAATTGTCATTCTCAGAGAAATTTATACTATGTCTTAACTTCTGTCCAGATTATCAAAGTTTGACAAAAACATTTTTTTATGCCCATATATAGAGGTGATGTCCCTATATATGGTCATGATGTGATGTCTTCATGACCATATTTAGGCTTAATTTATCAAATAAAATGTGATAATCTGACAGAGCTTTAAATGTCTCTAACTTGTTTGACAGATGACGATCCATTTGGTGTGCAGCATCCCCCTGATGATATTGATGATATGGGTGCATTTAGTGGGAAAGGGTTGTTTTCTGGTGGTAAAGGATTGTTTGATGATGAGGATGTTGTTGCTGATGATGAAGATGGTCTGTTTGATGACAAGCCAAGTAAACTTCAGGATGCACCACCTGAGGAGGAAGAGACAAAACCAAAAGGTAATACTGGCTATGTTCTCACACGGCAGGTAACAGTTAGCAGGATCCGGATCCTGCTAACCATTAGCTGCCATGCGTTCATACTAGAAAATTCCCGAACCGGATAGCAAGAATATGATGAACAAATCACTGGCCAATAAGAAACTGGAAATTGTAAACGTGTACGTGTGATTGGTTGATGATAGAAACGCGCTCAACTTGCTAACCGATAGTGCTTGCGGTATCCGGATACCACTAACGGTTAGCGCTAACCAATCGGGCGTTATCACACAGGTGGTAACGGTTAGCGCTAACGGTTAGCTCCCGATCCGGATACTTGGTCTCTAGTGAACCAGGCTTGTACCTTCTAAATTTTTTTAAAGAAATTATAAATTGCTTATAAATGAGTCTTTCATGATTACTTACCTGAATGAGCTGATATATGCCAATTTCCTTTTAGAAACTTACCTCGAAAATAATGGAATTGTCTAAACCAGGCATATCTAATGCATCTATGATATGTTACAGGCCTCAATTTTAATTTCACTTCTAATTAGTGTGGGTGAATGCATTTATATAGCCCTAAGTATTAGGATATCCCACTTTTTCTGTAAAAAAATCATTGCTGAAATTAATTGCAAGATAATTAATTTTATATAAAGAACTGCTCAGATAATATTCTCCCTTGGTGCATTCATAAATTACCACAACTGTTTCTCTCTTTCTTACATGATTTTTTTTTATATCTTACTAGTATTTCTTTTTCCAGTAACAAAATATTTTTCATACATTTTTAGAAACCAAGCCAAGGGCTAGAACAAGAAGTGGTCGCAAGGTGCCGGCAGGCGGTGTCTCAATGTTTGGAGCAGCCACCGATGAGCTGTTTGGATCACCAGCAAATGATGCAGTGGAAGAAGACGAGGTAGAAGCAGATGAGGAAGAATCAAATGTATGTCTGTCAGATTATTTTGTTGGAACTAAGTCCAAAGTCAGCATTTCAGTTATGGTGCCTTCAATAGATAAAGTAACAAAATAACATTCATTGGCAATCACAAACTAATGCTCTGTCAACACAAAGTGTTGTATGCCCATATATAGTCATGATGTGCCTATATATGGTCCATGAAGACATCATGACCATATTTAGGCTTGTCATATGTTTTGTCAAATACAGTTTGATAGTTTGGACAGCGCATTATGTGTGCATTTGCTGAATGTTAGGTTAGCCCAAGAATATGAGCTTGTGAGGTCATCATGTGTATTCCGTGGATGCTGTTATTGTTTACCTGAAATTATTGTGTGAAAGGCAAGGCTTAAGAAAATTTTACAAACATTAAAGAGATAATATAGATTTAATATATTATACGATATCTTCTCACCCAAATAAATGCAATTTGGAAAATTTCAGTACAATAGCTTTTTTTTTACATACATTGTTCATACAGTCAAACAGTACTATCTTAAGGGCGCATTTTGCAGCCGTGTCAAAGCGCCCTCTATTCCCGGTAAGTCATGAGATGCAAAAAATACCCCCCAAAGGGTTAAGCACGGCACGAAACTACTAACCAGTCTGAACGAAGAAAAATGGACAGATATTCAAACATTTGATATAATATAATTTTTATTCTCTTGATTTTTAATGTTATGTTATTGTTAATTTGAATTTATTTATCTATTTCCACTCTGTATGTCCTCTTTATATGTCCTATCCATATGTCGTGGGAGCAGTTGACGCTGTGGTTACAACTTGATTTCTTACCATCAAGGCCAGGGTTCAATTCCCACTCTAGTCAGTTACAGATCTTTTTTTCTTGGGCCACGTACTCCAACCACATTCTTCCTACCTGCCAGACTGTATCCTCCGCGCTAACATTTGGCCTAGAAATCCAATTTTTCTAAAAATTAGGCTTTGGCCAAGCTAATGCCATTATGCAGCAATTACGATTCCACGCACCTATTTTTCTAGTGATTTTCCACGAAAATTTGAGCCAATTTTTTAGGTATCCTCGGTGCAATTAAAAAAATTTACAGTATGACCTATCTGGGTTATAATTGGGGACTTACAGGTTTGAATGCTAATTTGCTGCATCATCACTGCATAGATGAAACACTACTCCAGGAAGCCGTGGTTTCCTAAAGGATTTTTTTTTCCAGTGTCTGGGAATATTCCTTCGGGAAGTTGGGTATGTGTTATATAAGGTGCTCGTTCCAATGAATGGGATAATTATATTAAGTGCCTAGACCAGCATATTGATTATTTACCTCCAAACATTAATGTTATTAAAATTTTTCAACCTTCTATTTTTATTTTGCTTCCTTTTATTGTACCTGTTTCTTACATTTATTTGAATTGCATTTTAGTCTGTAAAATACCAGAGTCCTAACAACACAGTAATTCCAAAGTGATTTCCAAGCTACAGAATGCTCAATTAAGAGGGAAATCAGAATGAGATTTTGAGAGAATTTATCGTTTGCTTAAATACTGTTGATTGCATTTTAATAACACTCCTCACCCACAGTTGATTTCAAAAGTGATTAGCTAGCTGCAATAGCCAATCAGAATGCTTGTTTTAATTTTATAAACAATCATGAGATTACCTGGCCTGTTATAGTTTGCATTGTAGTTCTTTACTCAGATTGTTCGCATGAAAAAAAATTTCTCATACTAAACAATAATATGATTTATTAATATTGAAAAAGTAAATAAGTGAATTAATTGGATATTTCAGAAAATAGGATTATGTATTATTTTGGTTTTTGTGTATAGTGTAGAATATATGATTAACATTTCATTTATTTGGATCACAAATGGCAGTAAATTAACGCTGAATTGCATGTGGTTTACAATATACATTAAAATTCTATCAAAAAATTAAAATTTTAAAGAGTTGACAATAATTACAAATACAAATATAAAAATAATAACAGAAATACAGAAAATTTACATTAAGAGACATCGACACTGATATAAAAATATTTAAAGACAATAAAAAAAACCAAAAAAACAATAAAAAGAGCATTGAAATAACAGTAAAATTACACCACAGAAAATTTTTTAATTAATATGCAATTTTTTTTAAACAATTTTCAAAGCCCTATTTATATATTTCTGTATATTTATTGTTGTTTATTTTCATATCATTAATAATTCTCATAAAGTAGTTGTAATTTCTATTTATACCATTGCCTTTTTTTTAGTTATTACTTTTAATATTTAGTTGGCAACAGCATTAATTTTATTGACCTTTATATATCGACAGTAGCCCTAAAAGCAGTGCTGACTTAGTATTACATGTATAGGGGTCCTCCATAATGTAAAAAACATACAATCATTGTGCATTAAATTTTTATGTTGATTTGCTTGTTGATAATGTTGTATTTTTTTTTTTAATTGTTTTTAAAGTTAATAACACTGTTATTGATGTTTTTTTTTATGATTGTTTTTCATGATGATATAGTTGTTGATGTTATTCTTATTGATGGCATAGTTACCAACCTGAGAGATTTGAAATGTGTGACTATACACCAGTTGGCTGGGAGGGGGGGAGTCTCCATGGTCCTGGGGGTCCAGGGGCAGAGTCCTGCTGGGAATCCTGGTTTCAGTCACATAATCAACAGTTAGTTGTGACAATGAACGTACAAGACCGCACGCACAACCTCAATTCTACTAAGTGCATGGTTGGCTGGGTTGTTTTGGTAGGGAAAAAGAAATTTTCTCGGTGAATTGATTTTCGAACGAGATAACGAAAGCCTTCTTTTCATCAATATTAGCAACTTTATAAGAATATGTTCATACCACAGTACTTTAGTTACATGTTTTGATTTCGATTTCAGAGTCGGAATAAACATTCACAAAAATCAGTAGATAGCAAGGGAGCTGGAGGGCTATTTGATGATAATGAAGATAATGATGAAGATGATCTCTTTGCTGATGCACCTGTTAAAAAGGGTAAGAACAGTGCTCTTGGAATCTATGACTTAAGCACCTAATAAGTCAGTGCTAATACATTATTACTTCATGTCAAAAACCTGTTCATTAGCTAACATCTCTTTTATTACACTGTCCAGTCTATGAGTCTTCAGGAATTAGAATTTTTTTATTTGTGAGCAGAAAATCTTTGTATATTAGTAGGAATTAAGTTATTTTCACAATACAGAATAGACAAATTTTAAATGTTCCTTGCAACACATTCTTGTTTAGAGCCATTGAAGGCTTCAACATCATCAGGACTATTTGAGGGAGATGAAGAAGATGAATTGTTTGGTGAAAGTAGTGAACCCAAACCAGCGCCAGCAGCTCAGAAAAAGAAGGTAATGGTTTTCAGGATTACTTATCAAAGGTCTGATACAAAAGAAATATCACATACAGATTAACAATGTTCAAAGTTCAAACATAAGATTGAATTAAAAATAATATTGAATTGCTTATCTAAGATCAAATAATTTATAAATTGTAAATGAAACAGTTTTTTTGTTTAATGTTTTTTTTTTGGTTGAAATATATAATTTTTGATATAGAGATTATTAAAATTACCAGCAATTTAAGGGTCTAATTTGAATTGAAGTCCACCATGTACTTAATTTTACTACACAGTTAGTATATATTTAACAGATCTGAATTAAATGTACAACAAATCTGCAACACTAGAGTAGTTCACTCCATAAAGTGCATACCTCTGCCCTGTGTCTGAATACCGAACAATACCTGGCCATGTATTAGCGATTCCATTATTTACTTGTATGCACGAGTGTAAAAAAAATTCAAATTGGCATTACATTGACTTTTGACATTTCTTCCCAAAATGTAGCTATCTCTCAGTTTATTATAAATTTTACTAAATTTTCTGATGATCCATTGAATGGTTTTAGAGTAATTTTGCTACAGACAGACAGATAGAAGCAGTGAATACATGACTTCCTTGGCAGAGGTAATAAAGAATATGGAATGAGAGAAGTAGTATAAGGACAGTCTTAAGAAGGTGCCTTCTAAATGATTTACTTAAATGCTGCTAAAATGTCTCATTGATTACATCTTACTTGGTTTTATTGAATAGTTACCAGCTGGAGCAGTTTCCATGTTTGGTAGCATTGATCCTCTTGCTGGGATGAAAAAGCACATGTCAGACACTGAAGAACACCCAGAACCAGAGAAACCTGTTGAACCAGTCAAGAAACCAGTGGCCAAACCACAGAAGTCTTCCAGTCTTTTTGATGATGAAGATGATTTATTTGGTATTCCATCAGTGTCAAGTAAAAAAGAAAGGTAAAAACTGATTAACATAATATTGATTGTTATTATTATTTTTATTATTATTATTATTATTAGTATGTTACTAAAACCTACCTTAGACAATGACAACTTGAAAATGACAATGACAATGATAACTTAGACAATGGAGAATTTAGAGGACAATTTAAAAAAAAACGATGTTGAGGGGAAAATAACATGATGTTGAAGAGAAAATAACACAAAAGATATTCTCCTTAAGTCCGAGTTAGCGCTATTATTATTATTATTATTATTGTATGAAATAAAAACACTGCACTTTATTGATTAACTTTCAATTATTTATTATGCAATCTCTTGAAAGTATATTATTATTTAATTATAAACAACACACTGCTGTTAATATATTTTCCTCTAAGATAAACACTCTATTATAAAAAATAATTTCCTGTGAATGCCCACTTGAATAAACACACGTTTGCATTAATTTTTTCCTCAAATAATTATTTATGACAAAATATTTAGTATTTATTTAGTTTTGTCCTATATTTCATACCTGGGAACAGTACTGAATTAATTTTGTCTGTTTAACTAAAACACCCCTAACAAATAATAGAACCATCTATTTCCAGGATGCCTTGTTTGCTACTAAGTGTTCATCCTCATTCTCTTATTATGTTAATTATTGTTGTTATTGTATCATTTTGATTGGTTGGTTTTATATTAGTCCGCAATTGAGCAGAAACAGCTCCAAGTTATTTGACGATGATGATGATGGTTTGTTCACTGTACCAAAGGAAGAACCAGCTAAACCACAGGTATGTTAACACCTATTCTGATTCTTCCTTGGTTGTTCAGTAGAAACTGGTTAATATGTATTCTGAATTAAAGCTGTTAAGACACACTCCAAAAGTATGCCCTGGATTAGGAAAAGATAAACCTTATCACCATGCCTTTGAGTTGATGGATTTGATTTCATTAATCAGATAAGCAAATAATTCATTGGTTAATAAATATTTGTATTGATCAATTAAATAAATGATTGATTGATTTATTAGTATATGAAGCTTGCTATTCCAAACCAGCATACTTTCGCTAAATGTAAACTAAGTAATTAGCACTTGAATATGGCAGTATGTATTCTTTAATACAGAAAAGCCGTAATACTTTTACTCATAACTTTCGCAATAATAAGTCGATTCCTGTGAATAAACTATCATTTTTAAAGCTTATAATGTAGAGAATATGAATATAATAAAAACTGAATAACGAATTGATCAATCCATCACTTGCTTGATTATTTCTTTGATTCATTCATTAAATCATTAATTGATTGATTGAATAACTTATTAATTAATTCTTCCAAAGAATAATTAATTCTTTTATCGACTCTAAATTGGACCACTTTTATTATTGGACAACCTTCCTTCCGTAAAGGACCACAATTTTCACAATCTATCCTTTATCATTGTGTCCAAACTTAGGAACCGATCAATTAGGGACTTTGTTTTTGTCTGCCACAAGGACAGTCTCTTAACAGAGTATTTAATTGAATGATTGGTTAACTGGTTCTTATTGTTTATTTTTCAGTCTGCGGCTTCTAAGAAGCAAGCTGCCAGCATGTTCGATGATGAGGCTGATGAAGATGCTGGTGATGATTTGTTTGCAGCTGCAGCTAAACCCAAGGAGACGTAAGTCTATTAACTTCTCTCTGTTTAACCTGCATGAATGGTCGATTTTTTGAAGGCTTTTCTTTATCCTTTTGTTTCTGAATACAACCCATATTAAGGGGACATCTTTGGGTCTGAAAAAAGTGTCTCCTTGATATAGAGGTAAAGGGTAAATGTAGGAAATATTGATAAGTGTATTAGTAGTGTTGTGCAGCACTGTTTGTTTTTATGATAATGAGTTAGGCAGCAACTGCTATAGATCCACAAGAGCCCATCTCAAATGTTCTATTTACTTAACTAGGACCAGTGAGTTACGTTACCATATTTTTTTTTATTAATGATTTCTAGTGGAAAGAAAAAGAAGCCTGTTGGAGGTGTTGCAATATTTGGTGGCGAAGATCTCTTCGCGCAAATAACACAGAAAGAGGAAGAGAAAACGAAAGAAACAGAAGAAGGGTCACCAGAGGTAAAAAAAATTTTTTTAATAATAAGCATATTGTAAGTTGGAGTGAAGTTTAATTGTTTATAATTAGACTACTTGGCCTTTCCATTGCAAAACAACGTAACTTGAAATTTTCACTTTTCAAGAAAAATATAGTTACAATTTATTTGCAACTTGGCAATAAGTTGTCGTACCCATTTGTCTTATTATTATTTAATAAATTTCCTATAGTATATTTTTTTTCACAGACTTAATTTTAAAATTTTGTTAGAAGTTTTTTTTAAAATACTACTACTACTACTAACTGTACTGCATATTTCATTGAATTTAAATATAATTTTCAAAGTCTTTATATAAAAACATTTAAAATTTTTAGAAACATGAACCAGTATCAATAAGAGAACAGCCACCAACACCTCGTAAAAACACATTCAGCCTCTTCTATGATGAAGATGAGAAAGATGAGGATGAATTGTTTCCATCATCTTCGTCATCAGCAGCATCATCTGGAGCACCGACGATGAGGGAAGACACAGACCAGGCAAGTTGCAGTTATTTTAATCCTTTTTTTTTTTACCAAATATAACAGTGATATATATCCACTTACAAGATATAATTCAGAGTGTAGATGGAGTTTTTTGGTTAAGGTGCTTGCCTTCCAATCTCAGGGTCCTGGGTTCAAATCCTGTGATGGCACAGATTTTTTTTTTTCTGACAATTAAAAACCATCTTCACTTCCTAAGCCTTGTAATAATGAGAATTCTTGATAAAGAATCACATTATTTCATTTAAGAGGGCCCCTGAATATCAGCCAACCTTTTAGGATATGCTGGAAGGGCAACCCTCTATATGTGTGGTTTACCCTCTATAAATGTACGGGTAAGAACACAAGGAGGGACAAGTTCCTATGCATAGTTCAAAGTAATTTTATTGTCAATAGTACAACAGGTAAAATTGAAATTTGATTTCCTCGGATACACAAAAAAGACAAAACACACAATCAAGAAAGACATCAAAAAAAGACATACAAAGATGTCAAAAATCAGATAAGAAAAACCAATTACAAGAGCAAAAACCCAAAGGTTTTGTCCGCCCAGACATAAGCAACTCTAGAAATAACTCTTTAAAATGTTAATTCATATGGTGGTTCTCAACTTATTGAATAAATGCTCTTAACTGTGAAGTCAGAGTATTTTATATATGGATATTTCAAAATGCATCTTAATTTTGGAAAATTACATTTAATCATATAATTTTTGTCAATATTTACACTATATTTCCTTTTTAACAGACCAAGGCACAAAGAAGACGTGCTAAAAGTAAAAGCGTATTTGATGATGAAGACGTACTCTTCGGCTCACGGCAAGAAGAAGCACCCCAAGTGGATCTGTTTAGTGGAACCAGTTCATCGTCACCCCCGAAGGTAACACGCCGCGCTTTATTTAATCACATTCTCACGCAAACATAGCACGCTTCCACCTATCTAGCACTCTAGATCTCATGCAATTAGAATGTTAATCACATATATATGGGAATTCATTGAAAATTAACTTTAAGCTGGGTACTCACTGCTAACGGCTGTCAGCCGACATCATTCTATGGAAAATCTGACTCCATGACGCGTGCGCAATGAACCGTTTTTAATGACGATCTATTCAGACTGCCACCTACAATCAGCAGACAGTGTCGCGTCGTCTAACGCTCTTGGGGAGACTGAGTTGGATTTGTTGGCTGACGGTCGTACGTAGTGAGTCCGTGGCTTTAAATGTGCGTCTAACATTGCTCTATATGTCTTCATCATCATTTATCAAAAGGTTTTAACTAAACTCACAGTTAATCAAAAGGTAATATTACTGGTTGAATATTAATTAATATATAAGATTTTAAAAATAGACAGAAAATAATGAAAATTAATGTTTTTATTTTTTTTAAAGTGCAATTAAGATGTATTATTTTTGTAATAAAATAAAGTCCTGAAAATATTGTCATTGGTTTTAAGCAGTTTTTCAGATTTAAAAATTGAAATTTGATCTAAATTTTTTGTCGCACTTTAAAAGTTGTTTATTTCTACCTGCTTATTTTTTGATTGGTTCATATATAACCAATTAATCCTTCCATGCCTGTTTGAGATGTGGTCAACATCCTTAACTAATATTATGAAATATTAGAATGTACATAAGACTGTTATATAAATATATCCAATATTTGTTTTTGACTATTTTATGCAGAACTAAAAATCTTTATAGTGGACAAATTTTCTTCAAAATTTATGAATTTATATTTTTTACACAAGAAAGTTGCTATGTGAATATTATATATATATATATATATATATATGAATTGTATTTGTATATTTAAATGTGTGTATTAGGGGTGTTTTGATGGGTTGGAAGAGGGGTTCGAGATATGCGAAAATAATTTGTATAGATTGATTTAATCATTTTTTTAATGACCATAGTTTTAAATATATAGATTCTTTATGATCCGTTTTCAGTTTGTTTACGTAATCTAATACTGTAAAGCCCATTATTTTTGCTTCCCTATATTTTCGAGATTTTACTATTTGAAATATTTCGCTGCCTTTTATTTTCACGATTTTACAAGTTCCAGTTGTTTTTTTTAACATGATGCAGAAACCTACAATTATGTTTTTGAGTCTATATTTTAGCTAGAGCTCCTGATTTTGGCAAGTTTCTCACAATTTTTCAAGCAATTTCCTACCCTCCAGATTTGTTTAGGAGCCACTGTGCCATAGATGGCCTAGGCCTACTTCAGCTACTCTAGGGCAGGCTTGAACAAGGTTTTTTTTTCAATTGAAATGTTAAAAATCTTGCAGCATATGTAGGCCTAACAAAGTTGACTAGAGTGTTTAGGCCTACCATGAGTTGAAAAGTTAAATAATACGGAAATATCCGTATTATAGAAGAAATACAATGCTGTGATTTTTATTCCATTGAAGGTAACCCTAGGCCAGCTTTTAGCTAGCACCACCACTCGAGGCCTATTAGGACTAGCACTCTCTGTCTGGCTGAGTGAAGTAAAGTGTGATGTAATGGCCTAGCTAGCCAAGATAGCTATGGTTATATATCTTTGCTTTTGAAGACAAAACTGTCATTCAGAATTTTGCGATGTTATCTCCCCCTTCATTTTTGCAATCATCGTGTTATCGCGAAATTAAGGGCGCACAAAAATATAGGCCTTTACAGTATTTATATGTAATAATGCTATGTGTTAGAGTAGAAAGCACTTTATGTAATAATACACACAATCAAATATTTTGTGATAAATGTTTGTGATTTGTCCACATATGGGCAGGATGATATGCCACATGATGATATCATTTCTTACCCATATATGGGCATGGTGATGTCATTTCTTACCCATATATGGGCATGATGATGATGTCATTTCTTACCCATATATGGGCATGATGATGTCACTTCTTACCCATATATGGGCATGAAGATATCATTTCTTATTCATATATGGGCATGATGATGTCATTTTTACCCTTATATGGGCATGATGTCATTTCTTACCCATATATGGGCCTGATGATGTCATTTCTTACCCATATATGGGCATGATGATGTCATATCACATACATACTGTATGTGGGCATGATTAATTCATATCATACACATGTGGCATGGTGATGTCATATCACACTCATGCAGACATATCACAGGTATTTTCCACATAAAATTTGATTTGAGTGTCCGGACATTTAGAAATGTGCATGTACAGTCGTTCTAGCTAATATCAAATAAAAGCCGTATGTACATTGTTTATAAATTCCTCCATCCTTAACCTGTTTGAAAACTCTCCCTAATAAGCTGAATTTCACTTATAGTATTTCTATAAAGTTTGTTGTGTTCTATGCTTCTCTATCAGTAGTCTGTTTAGAATTGCACGTAGAAGTTTGCAAGTAAATGATGCATACAAAAATCAAGTAGAACAAAAATACCTTTAAAACAATATCACACAAAACATATAAGTAATGTTAATGCTTAGAAGTTAGAACTTGCACATAATAATATGTAGCAAATTATGTTGTTGTATGAAGCACGAAGCTGTGTAGGTATAGTATTCTGTCAGAATATAGCGTGTAGCATGTTATGTTCAAAGTGCAGCACTCAAAAAACAATAGTACGCACAAAGCAAAGCATTTATGTAGCAACATATTTTATTTTATTTCACAACTCGCTCAACAGCGGGAAGCCGTCACTTATTTATGGTAGCACTCACAAATCTTAACATGTAGCAAAGTTAATTTGTTAGCATTCACAAGTTGTAGCGGGTTATGTTAATGTGTGTTTGCATTTATTGCGCATGGATTATTAATTTGGGATTTTTTTTGGAATTTCACTTTTATGTATGTGTGCTCATGTTTTATATGTTGATGTGTTGAATTTTGCGTCAAATCCCACCATTCATTAATTTTTTAAAATTTTTTTTTTCAAAATTTACGTAGGCCTATTTACAATTGCGCAAAACGTCAAACTCCGCAAATATTTGGAAAATATATTCAATTTTCAAGAATTTAATTTCAATTTTTTTGTATATTAGATGGGGTTTGACGCAATTGGAAACACATGCTTTTTATGCATGATGTAATCAATTTTAAAATTTATATAAATATAGTCTATATATAGTTGTACACAAATATTATATAAAAAATATATATTTTTCCAAAATAAAAATAATCAGATGAGGAAAAGCTTTGGTATTTTAATTTTCTTTGGTTCACTTAACAATTCTATATATTTTAATGTTTCTACAAGCATAAACCCATCTATATATGCAAATAATCAAGAAAAAATTACTGAATATGGGATAGACACAAAATTTAACACCGTAAAAACTTTGTTCATCTACTTGGTGAATATTTATTTTATACTTCTGTATTATTATTAGATTGCACTCTTCCTTCTCTCCCCTACCCCCCTTTTCTTAATTTGATCATAATCATTTTGTGTTGGCAGTGTATGCAGTGGAATATTTATGAATATTGACATGGGGTATGGGGACTTAAGTTTAATTTTTTCCTCAGCCTTTTAAGGATACAACCTTTTATTTGGAACGGCATGCCACCCCACGCCCCTCCATGGAAACAACACTGAATATATGTTAGTAAAAGACATGCCCCATAATGTACCGTACTGTATACTAATCCAGCACTGTAAAATTATAATGTGTCAGCACTATTCTATGTTTTACAAACAACTATTGACAAACATTCCATAAAAAGTGCAATATTTAAAATAATAATTGCGCTCATTTGCATACAATTTCAAACTTTTAGGGTTTAAGTATCGGGGGCGGATTTAGAAGGGGCCCCCTTTTTGGAAAGTAAAAGAAAAAAAAAAGAACAAAAAATAAAAAATAATCGCACAAAACGCCTCAGAGGTTATTTTTGGACGAATATGAAACAAAAATTTTGTGGTGGCATGCCCATGGACCTAGGGTAGTGTTTGCCTGATCTGCCATACTTTCAGCCATCTCCCCCTTTTGGACATTTCTAGATTCGCCCCTGATTGTCAATTGAGTATTACATTTTATTGATTATTAACTTGACTGGTAATTGTCATTAGACCGTAAGTTCATCTCATTCACAATATTATAATCAATCCAATATATCATTCCAAAACTCTAATAGCAGGACTCAAAAAAAGCGAAAACCGGAGATATATTTGATGATGATGATGATGACTACGATGATTTATTTGCTGAAAAAAAGCTCCCGACCGAACTGCCTAATAAAGTCACTTCTAGCAAACCGACCCCAGGTTCATCACCAGGTCGGCCAAAGAACTTGTTTGTGGATGATGAGGATGACGACTTATTTGGCCCAGAAAAGCCTGTGAAACCACATGTGAAACCACAAGTAAGAACTAAGCCTCCAATAACAAAGCCACGAAACCAGCGGTTAAAGGAGCCGACTCGGCCACCTCCCCTTCCCATCAGATCAAACTACGTTGGGAGTGCGTCGCCCCCTGTAGTTAAAATGAGACCAAAGAAAAATGAGAGCAAAGGAAGTTCTGATATATTGGCTGACAAAAATGATGATGATTTATTTGGTAGCAAAGAGAAAATTCCACCGGTAAGTTTCGTCTCATTTTTGTGATTGTTTGAAAAAGATCCTTTAATGATAATGCAACAGACCTTCTCTGGGGAAGAGTAGAGGATATGGGTAATTGACTTTACCACTAAGGACCACACCCTCTCCCTTCTTGGATTTTACCTGGCATCCTACATTCTCTGCATGCGTAGATTTGGCCAAATTGCGTTCCATAATCTGCTCGACCAGGTGACTTTAACGTTCTCGCATACGCAGATGACTTCTAGTGACATCATTACGTTCTACGTCCTACCGTCGTCGTGCAATCGATCGCTCCCTATTGTTGATTAGGTCCCACAAAACGACGTAAAAACATAGGCAAACACATGCAATTGTAGGACAAAGTGGGTGCCTGTAAGACATGCGCTAATTCCTGGTCATATTCTTACATGTCAGTTGTAAAGTTGGATTAACATTTCGGAAAATGTCAATTGTGTGAGTGGGAGGAG